CCTAGACTTTATTTTCCTCCAAGGGACTAAATTCTTGGGAATCTGATGAGCAATAAAAACGTTTGCCCTTAAAATGGCACACAGACATATACACAAAAGCTTTAGATATAATCTTATGACATCCCCAGTTTCCAAAAGTCTAAGGATCTAAGTGCTAAAATAAAACTACAGGCAGTAGAAATTTACTAATAGTATAAGTAGCATGGGAAATATAATTAGGTGCTAAGTGACCGATGTAGAAAATTGTGTCCATAAAAGTAATGCATCAGTAAAGTGGAGATAACTATGAAAAAATTGTATAGAATCTTGAAGAATTGAGACGATTACATGAAAAAGAAGAGAAACGGCATTTTGGGTAGAAAGAAGGGAGAAATTGGAGATTAGCTGGAAATACTTGGGAGGCCAAGATTTTAGTACAAGTCTATCTGTGGAATGTCAGCAAAATGACTTCCAAGGTGTATTTTTTTGTAAAAATTACAGCTGTTGGTAAAATGTGTCCCCAGCATGAGCAGTGCATAAAATTATTATGAGTGATTCAGCAGGGATTCTAAATGTGTGCTAAACACTTTTAGAAGGTCTCTCTTTAAAAGAAAACATCAAAGCAGAAAAAAGTAACTTTCTCATCTTCTGAGTGAGCTTTTCAAAGATCATATAACGGTTACTCGAATTTTATTTTTTTCCCTGTGATTTTTCTGCTTCTTGTTCCTGTTCTTGCCTCTTCAGAAAAAAATTGATTTCTGAAGCTAAAACAAAGACCCTTCTTTAAATTGGGATAAATAATGCTCCGTTGTTTCAAGAGGTGAGATGAGACCCCAAACTCATCTTCTCATCCTTTCCGCTGGCCTTCCTTCCTCTCTACAAAGCCAAGCTGTCACCTGGGAGGGAGTCCATAAAAATGTCAATACACTGTGGTACTCTGATAGCACTTAAACAGAGGCAAATATTCTTAGAACATTTAATATTAAACAAAAGCCAGATAAATGATGATAAATAATTCTATCCATAACCCTAAGTTGCCCCATTGGAATTTAAATCTGAGACATTACAGGAAAAATCCTATGCACGACTCATCAACGACTGAATTACACCGAAATGAGATCCAGGTTAGGAATGTGGCGACTGGAGAAGTCCCCCCACGCAGATTCTTCTGACCTGATTCCTCCTGGCAATTCGTCCAGAGAGTGTCCCATCCAGAAATCACTGGACTGTACACTCACACGGCCCTGAGTATCAAGTCCAACTCCCCAGCGGATGCTGTGACTTCCTCTCCACTGCTCACTGTTTAATATATTAAAACTCATAAAATTATAATTAATAATTCATCAACAGATATATTCTAAAGGATGTGCACTGATGATGAAATCAGTCTTATGCTCCAAAGGCTACAGGGAACAGCTTTCCACAGCACGAAGAAGCTTCAGGTATAAAGTGAGTCGGAGGGTCTTGATCTCACACGTCATTTGATTCATTCGTATACTTAGCAGCCATCACTGAGGGCTTCCTGCCAGCCGGGCACGGGGAACGCATAAGACTACAACGCCCCGTGACCTGGCTTCTTCCCACCAGGCTGCCCCCCATAGTGATCAGGCTCTTAGCCCGTGGGCCTTGGGAGGACGCTCATCCAAACCACATCAGACGAGCTCTGATAAAGTGGTATTTTAGCGGTGACTGAGGAAGTCAGGAGAGAAATGTGGATGCGAGAAACAAGCATCCTCAGCATAGGGAGTCGGAAGAACAGAGAACCTGAAGGAGGAAAGAACTTGGTCTATTTGAGGAAGAGACAGGAGAGCAGCGTGGATGAAGCTGAAGGGGCCTGAGGGAGTGGGTGAGCCATGCACACTCACGCACATGCACACACACTCACACACACACACAGACACTCACACACACACTCTCGCAGGGTGCCCTGGCTGTCGGGGCTGTGGAAGGGCAGGAGAGTCTGCTGAGCGAGATGACTGGGGGCTGAGCTGGGGCTGATACTTTAACACCACTGCTCCCGCCGTGTAGAAAATGTGGACGGGGATGCAGGGGGAGGAGACCAGGTGAGGTTTCCCTTTGCTGGAGAAGGGAGGAGAGCAAGGGGCGACTATGGCAGTGAATGTGGGAATGGAGAGGCTTACAGCAGAGGCTTGTAATTAACTAGATGTGAAGTATGAAGAAGTAAGGAAAAGTTACCGAGGAAGCTAAGGCAAAATTGTTCCAGGCAAAATTGAGAGAAGGAGCCGCCCAGGATGGAGCCTTGGGCCTCTTCTCCTGCCACAGCCCCTCTGACATGTCACACCCCTCAGTGTGCCCATTGTGCCACGTTACAAGGTCAGCCCAGAGGCCAGCTGTCACTGGGGTTGCAAAAGTCTGCAAAGGCCTGTAAGTTAAAGACTCAGCCATCAGCCTGTGGAGCTGTCAGGAGGTGGGGAGGCGTTAACAGGCTGAGTCAAGGGGAGGGCTTTGGGTGCCTGGGGATGTGCCCTGCAGGTGCTGGGGCCTGCTGACCATGGACTGGAAGCTCCGAAACCGTGAGCCAAAATGAATCTTTTCTCTTCATACACTGGTTATCTCCGCTGCCTTGTTAGCAGTCGTGGCAAGCTGACTCACACAGTGCCCCCGCTCCTTCTTTGGCTGTCTGAGGGATGTCTCTCATTCCTTCAAATGCAGCTCTGGCATCAGCAGCCTCTCAGTGGCCTGACACTAAAACTCAAAGGGATCATTTTATGTATATGTGTCTGGTTTTTTGGGGGAGGCAGGGGACAGGGTTTCACTATGCCGTTCAGGCTGGCCTTGTTACTACCATCACTGGCTCAAAGCCAGGGCGAGGGAAAGTGGGAAAGGACAGGAGTCTTACCTCCCAAAAAAGCACGAAGCTTTTGATGATTATACTGGACTCAACATATTGCAACAGCAAGTTGAAACACCGAAATGACACCCAGAATTTGGAGGCAGATTTATTTTACACTGACCGGCACTGATTTGGATCACTCCCAAAATATCAAGCCCCTGTCTCTGGTGGTATAGGGCTTATATGAGATAAGCAAGCAGGAAGTGCAGAGGCAGAATAGCTTGTCAGCTGGGGACTGGTTCTTACAATATGCATCGTAATGACCAGCTATCACAGGAACCAGCCATTTCTGAGAGAAAAAAGTAACAGGAACTTTAACCAGAACTATTACCTAGGCAACTAACAAACTGAAGTGTACTGGTTGGGGGGGGGGACTTCTTCTTTACAATATTAATTGCTGAAATGAGCTGGTGCTTTGAGATTTAAGTAGCTAGGACATTTCTAAGAGTGACCTGGAAAGTCCCCACGTCTGAAAAAGCATGGGCCCCACCAAATGCGTGGAAGGGAGGTGGAGACGGGGATAAATTTCCTTTTTCATACCTTGTGGATTATAGCGGCTTGTTCATCATGACCACTGGGAGCCTCTGGCTCGCAGAACTATCAGTTATCCTGCCTGCATACTGCCGTGGGAGACGGAGCCTGGCCCCACAGGGGGTGCACAGCCATTTTTTGTTGATTGCTCTAAATTCCACCATGTCATCCTTGGTTTCTGTTTCTTCCTTCCCAGTTCTCTCAAAATGAGCTCTTCGCTCTGTATCTCGAATGACTTCCAACTGTGAGGGGACAGTGGCCACCACAGTCTCCAGCTCGGTCCCCAGGGCTTTCAGGCAAGTCTAGAGGTGCCGGATGCCCAGGATCAGTAACTTTCAGTGGTAAATGAATCTTTCTCCCAGGGTGTCTTAACAAAACCACCACTGCTCTGAGCACCACGATCAGAAAAGTTGGGGAAGCCGGTCTCTGACACAACTCCTTTACCTGTGACCTTCTAACTCTCCTCTTCTGAATACAGTGGGTTTTCTGGTGTCTTCCCCAAAGTGTACCACCGTATTCTGCTGGTAACCATCCTGTCACCGTTTGAAGAAACAATAGTTCCTCCTTACTACGCGAGATAAATTTTAAATTTCTTCTTTTTCATCTTCCACATGACTTCTTAGAGCTTTGTGTGTTTTATAATGCATGAGTGCTGCCAGTGTCAATTTATAGAACCACGTAAGAGCGAAGATGCTGATGAACATCAGCTAAGAACCTCTCTAAAGGTAGAGGGGGGCCCTGCGTTGTTCTCTCTCAGCTGCAGCCAGGTGCGTGCGGCTTCTGCTGCTTTTTTGCTATAAGCCGTGGGGCTGCCTGTGGTCCCTGATGGTCCCCGGCTCCACAGGGGCGTGATGGGGAGCCTATGAGAGGCACCGGCTCAGCGCCAAGCTCCACTCACACACAGACGCCCAGGACCTTTCTCCCGCCTCACTCATTCCTGGCCCCCATGCTCCACGTTTGTTTTTAGCTGTGTCTCTCATTTCTGGATCCCTGAATAGACAGCTTTCCTCTGCCAGGCTTGCTGTATTTGTCTGATGCCAACTCTCCTCAGCTCTGCTTTGCCTACAGTACAGCCATGGTCCCTGGCGTCAACTTCCCAGTGTTACCAAAGCTTTTGGATCTGCTAACCCCATTTCTGTCCCTGGATCTTTCTGGCCATCCCTGATCCATGGCAGATCAACTCTGGTATGATCTTACAGGTCCTGGGATCTTCAGCCAAGGGCAAGGAACTTGAATTTTTGTTAGGAAAGGTGGTTTTATGGGTTGGATCTGGAATGGCCCCCAGAGGATCACATGTTGAATGCTTGGTCCTCAGTGGAGCAGTGTTCCGAGTTGGGAACTCTGGAAACGGATTGGCTCCTGAGGGCTCTGACCTCATTGATGAATTAATCCACTGATGGTTTCCTGATTTTATGAGCTACTGGGATATTATGAACAGGACAAGGAACTTCACTGATGGAGTGGGACCTTGGGGTATGCCTTTGGGAGCTATGACTTATTTCCATCCCCACCCACTGTACAATGAGGTGAGAAGCAGTCCTCTGCCACACCCTCCTGTGTGATGTTTCTGTCTTGCTGCCGGCCTGAAAGTGATGAAGCCCGACGACCATGGACTGAAATCTCTGAAACCATGAGCCGAAAATCAGCCTTCCTTTCTTTCAGGTGTTTTCTGAGGTATCTTCTCACAATGAGGGAAAGCTTACTGACACGGAAGGGGAGAGGGAGGGGAGGAGAATCATCTGATGTCCAAAATGGGAGCAGAACTGGGGAAAAAGGGTGTTTCTGAGTAACTCAGAAATCTTTATAAGAGGTCTTTGGGTCTGGGTCAGAAGAGATGGGTCACTGGGGGTGGAACCAGGAAGGGAGCTGCCCCTTCCCCTGTTCCTCCCTCTGTCTGCTTCCTGCCCACCATAACATGTCTGCCTCTCCACAGCAAGCCCTGACACACTACTGATGACAGGTTAGTGCACCATTTGAAGACTCAAGGCTACAGATGAAAGGAAAATAGTGTAATGAAACATAATTCACATAGACAACACTTTAGAAACAAGAACAGACTTTGTTGCTTAGTCTGGTGTCTTGCTTTGAAACTGCCTAAACAATATAAATGACAACCATGATGGCTACATCTCAGCACTATTTGTATCCCTTAGCCACTTCCTCATCCCTGAGACAAAATACCTGAAACCCACCACTTAGAGGAGGAGAAGCTAATGGTGGCCCACAGCTGTAGAAGTCTCAGTCTGTGGTCCGCAGGCTCAAACACAGACATGGCCTGGTGGAAGGGCTTGCTGTAGAGGAGACCTGGTCATGCTATGGTGGAAAGGAAGCAGCGAGAGCATGGAGGGGCAGGAAAGGAGAAGCTCCCTTCCTGGTCTTGCCCCCCGGGACCACCTCTCCGTCCAGGCCCCCCCTCCTAACAGCACATTTAGCTCTGAACCCATCCATGGATTTACGCACTGATGCCTACAGTGCCCTCATGGATCAGTCATCTCCCCAGAGCTTTTCCTCCGAACGCAGGAGGCCTTCCGAGGACTCCCAGAGCTAAACCACCATTTGAAATGCTCTAAATTGCATCAGTCGCTTGCAGGAGAGTAATTACTTTCAATATGTATATGAAATTACATCATCTCTGCCAAACAATGCACAGGGATATGAAAGAACACTTTTAATGTACTGAGTGTGTTCTCTGCAGGTTTGTCTGCCAGTATGCCTTCATTTATTATCAAAGCAAAGCCTGGTCCAGCGTTGCTAGCTTCGGCTCCTCTGTGGCATAAGTCCATCGAAGCAGGCTGAGGACGACCCCAGTGGGCAGCCATGGTCTGCTCCAGAAGCTTCCAACGGCTTCTTCTCCAGACCCCGTTTTGGGATCTGGACAAGGCCACAGAGTGGTTCTGCTGGGGGCCCTGACCCTTTGGAGGAACGGCAGGCATTCTGGGAAGGCTGAGGCCTCTGGACTCTCTTTTGCTTCCCCCCAGCGTGGGGCAGGCACTTGGAGTGCTCTCTTGCATGTATGGCACCAGCCTGGGATTTTCAGGCTCCCAGCAGGACAGCGTGCCTTCCCACTGCTTCTCCCCTACACGCTTCTCTTCCTCAGCTTCTGCTTCTCTTCCTTTCCTCCCATTCTCCTCTCGCTCTTGCTCCTCCTTCTTCTCCCTTCCTTTGTCCTCCTCTTCTTCTGTCCTTGGATTGTACTTCTTTTGCTTTCCTCATGATAGGAACATATAGTAACAGCCTGTTCAACATGACACAACCCAGGCACACGCTGTCAGACTCACAGACTAGCATGTATTCTCAGCCTCATGTAAGAAGGAAATAAGACACTGGTTGATCCTTAAGCCTGCTGATGATTGACACCATTGTCCCCTCTTTTTCCGGGCCCCCTGGGGAAGGGCTCCCAGATATACTTCCAAGGTATTACCAGTCAACTGAGAGGGTTCATGCTCAATTCATACAGATTGGCAAAGTATAGCTCTTTTAAGGTTAACACCCCTAGGCTTTAAATGCAGCCACTATCGACTCTTAGGGTTAGCAGGCCCTGGTTATCCAGAGCCACCAGCTACCAGCAGGCTTTGCACTCTTTTTAGCCATAACAGACGGTTATGGAAATTGCTTCTCTCTCTCCTTCTTTTCTCTAGCTGCCTTCAGTATCATCAGCTCCTCTGGCGTTCTGCTGCAGCATAAAGGGAACAGTGCCTGACTGAACTTGCTGAGGGGACAAGGGGGTGGTTTGTGAGGCTTAAAGGCAGGCATGTGCGGTGTCAGACTCCCTGTTTGGTCATGAGAATGGAAGGGCCCGCTTGGACCTGGCTGAGGAGGGCTACAGAGGGACATAGTTACCTGGGAGGTTGCAGGGCAGAGTCACACAGAACAGGTCTGCATCCAAAGCCTGTGGGAGCCACAGCAAGTATCTTCCAGAGCAACTGCCCAAGGTACCTGGGTCAGCTGCAACCCACTGGGGCTGCCACAGAAGGAAACTTGAAGGACCTCTTAGAGAGCATCAGGTTCTCTCCTGTCTCAGATCCACTGAGAAGGCCTTCAAGTCCTCACTGAGGGAGAGAAAGCTTTCATTAGAGATAGTGCTATGGAGTGGGGCAGAGCTTCCCCACCTCCACACAAATGAGGTTCACAGGTGCACTGGCAAACTGGCCCCCTAGTCCTTGGGCAGCGAGCGGAGTGCAGAGGCTTCTCCACGGACCTGTCCCCACCTAGTCTCTTTCTCCCTCGAGCTGCACTCCTAGTGACCACAGAAGCGCTGCATTTTCTGTGACAGTCATGCTACAAAAATGGTTAAAGATAATTGATGTAGATGGGTGATAGCCGAGCCTCCTTTGTGTGGATTCCCGGGAGGGAGGGCTGAGCTCTTCCACATGTGCTCCACCCACCCCAGCTTTCCAGCCAGCGCGCAGGCTGGTGCGGCGGCAGCCTGACCGGAAGGTGCTCTGTGGCCTTGGGCCAAGCAGGGCTTTGTCCTGAGGGACTGGCCAGTGTGTGTAGTTGATTTTCCCGCATTTCTAACTGCTCCAGAAACCTTCCTGGTCACATTGCATTTTCTCGTTTTTGCCCGTGGGTAGATCTACCACTACAAATGTCATACCTGCCCTCTAGTCTGGCTGCGTACTCAGAACTGGGAAACAGGTGTGGGGGCACATGATGGGGCCCCCTGGTCACAGAACAAATGGCTTCGCATTGGTGCTGAGCAGAAAGACTACAGAAATGAAATCCATGCCCAGCTTTGGGGCATTTTATATAGCAACAGACCCTGACCATACACACACACACACACACACTTAAATGGACAAATATTTTTACATCAAAATGTGGCAGATTTTCTAAGCAAGAGCTATAGTTTCCCCACTAGTAATTTTTAAGCATTTTGAAAATGTTAAATTATATGTCAGACCTCTTTATTCTTCCTGTTTTCTTTCACTCCGAAATACGTGAGGATGTATGCGTGCATTCCCCTTGGAGCACATCTCCTGGCGTGTAAATAACAGAGGACAGTGTTGGTGACGGGCACTGTGGTGTTAGGAGAGGCGGATGTGTGCTCTGCACTGCGGCACGTGATCAAGCACGTGGCCACACACGTGTGCACACGGCACGCACATCTGTGACTTCTGGCAGCCTCACTGTCCATTTGGATGATCAAGTAGGCGCTGGATAAAATATTCCACTCTCCCGCCTTCACCGCACTTCAAGCGTTCCCAAAGCCAGCAAACCCACCTTGTGGCCAGGTGACTGCCTATTCCCAACAAAATACTGCACAACCTTTGATTTCGAGTAATTTGCTCTGCAAGTGTCCCACAGTGCAGGCAAGCATTTCTATAAATTTTAACTTGATAAACAAGTGACGTCCTGGAATATGAGTAGTAGGCGATGGTGAACATCACATGATCACAGCTGAGCCAGTGCTTCCTCTCTCTCCTCTCCTCTGTTCTCCTCTGCTCTCCTCTCCTCTGCTCTCCTCTGTCTCCTCTCCTCTCCTCTCCTCTCCATTCTTCTCTTCTCCTCTCCTCTCTTTTCCTCTCCTCTCCTCTCCATTCTTCTCTTCTCCTCTCCTGTCCTCTCCTCTCTCTGTCTCTGTCTCTGTCTCTGTCTCTGTCTCTGTCTCTGTCTCTCTCTCTTTCTCTCTTGGATTATGGGTGATCATCTCCCAAAATTGAGAGGTTATCGAAGAGATCTTAACTGCAAAGGAGGAGAAAAAGGAGCAGGAATCACTCACTTAAAATGAGATTAGGGAGATGTGTAAAATGTGGGAAACAGTCCAAAATTTGTCGAAAAGCACCCCCTGGATAAGGCTGTAGCAGTGAAAACGATGAATCTCTTTAATGACAGTGTAATGTAACATTTCCACAAAATTCTCAAAAGGAGGCGAAAGTAAGCACCACCGGACAGGGTCCTTGTTAAAGCTGCACAGAAAGAAAGATTCCATCGAGCCAATAGATTAGTGATTCTGCTCATGATAGCGAAAGTCATCTGACACAACAACCCTCCTCCCTTGTTTTTCTCATACCAGCCATGAAGGTTTCCCAAGGTAAGTGCAGGTTAATTTGCCTATTTTTCTTTATAGTTTGTGTTTTCTTTATTATTTTATGCTATATTGCAGTATTGTAATCATTTTTATATGAACATTTTTGGGTTGTGGAATGAATCATCTGAGTTTCCATTATTTCTAATGGGGAAATTTGCTTTAATATACAAGAGCTTTGGATCACAAGCATGTTTCCGGAATGAATTATGCTCACAAACCAAGGTGTTACTAAATGTCCATATACATTTCAGCCCATGCTGTTGGGTATAGTTTTTGTTATGGAAAAATAAGAAGGCCTGGGAACCACAGAAGCAAAAACAGAGTAATATTTGAAATTGTAGTACTCATTTCTTAAAATCGTAAGAACCTTATTGTGGATTCAAGACCTTTGTGCCTTGCCTCCAGTTCCTCACGCTCCAGGAGGAGCTCTTCCCTTCCACCTGGTGCTCTAGCCTTGGCCTTGCCAGGTGTGGCTCCACTGCCTTTGTGCGTGGGCAGACTGCCTTGCACACGCAGAGCTGTACAGGAGGAGGAAAGCTGGTGCTAATGGCAAATTCCACTGCAGAAGTTCTCCTAGCAACAGGGCAACAGTAACAACCCACACTACCTTTTGTGTCTAGCTTTATAAAGCCATGTGGCCATCACTCTCACCAGGACATTCAAAGGGTTTGTTTTTTTGCAAGTGAAGAGGGATTTCTACGTGAAGCACTGAACTGTGAGCGCCTTCCTTGCTTTCCCTCAGCCAGCACTTCTCTAACCAGGATGCCAGCAGATTTTCACTTCAGATGCAGGACATCCCCAAAGGAGGGCACTGGGTAGGAAAAGGATGGGACAGGGAAGGTTGTGCGGTTCAGGCTCCGAATGGCGAGCTACCGCTTTGGTGAGATCACATCAACCCACCAGATCTTACTCTCATCATCTTCAGAGGGAGGTGTTGCTTCTTAACAGTTCACGGTGCTTGTTAAAAGTCCAGATTTTCGGGTCTACAGCCACCCTGCTGAATGAGAACCCCTGGGGATCTGCTCCAGGAGGATGACATCTAGCCAGACAGTCTTGAGCAAAAGCTCCAAAAAGGTTTATGTCATTCACTTTCCAGTGTTTCTTGCCTGCTACTGGGAAATTAATGTATTCTTCAGGGTTGACATGTTATGTGCATTACAGGGACTATTTTTGTAAAGGATGTGCTAACCCATTTTCTTTGCAGTTTCTGACTGGCTATCCTCTATAAAAGATGCTGGATTAATGTCCCCCAATGGGAAAAATTTTTGAGTATGTGTCTCCAGTATATTCAGTTTTAAAATATTTAATATTTAACATCTGTATGTATGTATATGCTCTACTCTGCTTTAACATGTTATGTTAAATATTAACATAGGATCAACATAGTATACGAACAATAAATGTTTTTGAAGAAACAAAGCTGAAGTAAGGTTTTAAGAATTTAATTAGGGATAATTTTGATTTAGCACTATGATATAGCAAAATAAAAATTTTTTATATTGATTTTGAGTTCACTGCATTTTAATGGTTATAACAGATGAGACTACACTTCAAAGAGATATGTAGATGCAAGCACGAGAAGTTATTTTAAAAATTATTCCCTACTAAATGATGATACTGCTTTTTAAGTTCTATCCACATCCACAGTTATGCCAAAGTATCTTATGGGCTACTAAATGTTCATATTTCTGGATGTGAAATGGTGTTTATTGCAAACTAACCAGGAAAACGGACTTAAAATATTGCTTAAAGCATGTTCAAACTGTGATAAAATTCTTCACTTGGAAAGATTTGGACATGTTAGAAAATTCTGTTGCTACTATTTTTATGTACAGATAGGAATTTTTGCATTACTGTTAAAAAATGAAAACCACATATATTTGAAATATTTCCAGATATCCATTTCCAAAGTAATGGAACGTGCTCTTTCATGGCATGAATTTCTTTTGAAAATGATTATTTTCTTATTCATTTTAAAATTATTTTCTCTTCGCCTTTATCCCAAATAGACAGATTAAGAATATTTTCTTAGAATATCTGCTGGCTAGTATATCAGCCAAAGAAAAAGTCAACAAATTGGGAACATTAAACATTAGACTTTATAAAACAATAATGAGTATCTCAAGTTGAATACTGTTTTAAAGTGCTTGGCTATGAGACGGCTTATCACCCTCTATGGGCACAGCAGATTTTCGCCGTCATTCCCAGTGTCTTTAAGATTCTGTTTTTATTTTTCTTTCAAGTAAACACAATGATGTTGTCGTGTGACTTGTTGTGTGTTTCAGGTTCACATTCTTTTCTCTGTCTGTGTGACTGATGCAGTAAGTGGGTCTCACAGGAGGGGTCTTTGCATTTTCCCTGGCATCTTTTTACCTTCAATTCTGTCAAACAGTTACTCAGTGAGTGGTTATACATACACCAGTACCCCCCAATTCCCAGTTCTTTTTAACTAAAGAAATCGTCTACCACTGAGACTATATCTATATTAAATAAGTCTATTCTTTGGCGGGCTGTGTGAAAGCACGTCTTCATGTATTTCATTATCATTACTCTTTTTGTTTGTTTGTTTTGTTTTGTTTTTGCAGTGCTGGGCGCCAAACCCTGATACATTCTTCCCAAGAGCTCTGCTCCTAAGCCACATCCCTAACCCCACGAGTTTCATTATCGAAACAGATTCTAAAAGCTCCATTAAAGAATCCTCTTGGAAGCGTCTTAACTTTCACCCGTTCAGCAACCATTTATTCAGCAGTTATCCCACAGTGGATGATCTTGATTAACACTTCGTGCTTTGTGTCTTCCAACTAATTTTTGTAACTAGAGAGAGCCTTCCCATGTTGCACCATTGTCTTATGTAAATTACTTTGCTGACTGTTACTGCAGCATTTTCTCCAACACTATAAGGTGCTATTAGATGAGAAAGAGTGACTTCCAAATATGTGTAAATATTTCATAAGATGTTTTTAAATCTTGGGCTGAGACTCACACACCTTTATGCTTCAAAATAAAATCAGAGGCTTATCACGAATCCATTTCCAATTATGCTCTACAACTGCAGAGGAACACCGAGCCAGTGCTCACTGGTAGCAGTAATGTGTGTGAAAAGCTGTATTTCAAACAGGTTCTAAAGCACTTTTTACTGGAAGGAATTTAGGTTTACAGGAAGATTGCAAAGGAAACTGCATTCCCATACAGCTTTCACCCAGGTCGCTTTAATATTATTGTACATAACCATAGTATACTTACCAAAACTAACACGTTAACATCAATACAATATTTACCTAAATGACAGGCTTTATTTGCATTTCTCTAGTTCTTCTGTTAATTTCCTTTTTCTGTTTTGAGATCTAATCCAGGACAGCAGTTACCAAACAGCCAGTAGCTGATGCCATGTAATGACTTTGTGAAGATTTGCTTCGTTAAAACTAAATAACTGGGATTCCAGTTGACTAAGAATGAGTGAACTGCAAAATGTATCCTAAGGCATTAAAGTGAGGGTGTCTTTGTCTTGCTCTTCGTGTTGAGGAATTAGGGCTCTTCACTGAGGCTCCGTTCTACTGTACTTGAAATAAGGGAGTCTGCCTTGTGGACCTGATGTGTCTATGAAATACTAGGGAGTCTTTATTTCTTCCTTATTTTTCTTTTGAAGATATATATCTTCAAATTATTTGCCATAACAAATGTCTTTGCTATCTGAAGGCTCCAGTGGATGCGTTTTCCACCTCTGAGAGGCATGCACCCTATTTTTAGGGCTCTGCTCTATAGAATATTTATGTACTTTTGGTTGGCCTGAGAATCCCAACAATTAAATTCCCAGTAATACTAATAATATCTAAACTAGAAGAGGTGCACAATTCGGTATCTTGTTCTCTATTGGCCAATTCCATGTCTTCTTGAATTATTCATATGTAATAAACAATTACTGAGTGACCCATTAAAGCAGTTAGTGTGCACAAATAATTTCCCCAGAAAGCACTCCCTCCAACCATCCCTCAGAAAACTGCTGGAGCACCATGTAGCTTTGGGGGGTAGAACTGTGGGTGCAGATGTGGGCAGGTGGACCCGAGGACCCTTCAGTTGTGCCGCATACACTACCGGCTGCGTGTGATGCTCTCCCCACTGAGGATGGAAGTGAAATCCGTGAGAGCTGTGCCACTTTTCCTTGAAAGAGCAAATGACGCGACAGATGCTGTGAGGCACCCTGGGCCCTCTGCAGGAGGAGGGAATTGTTCTCCAGCTGTTGTGAATGTTGCTGGAGGGTGGTGCTCAGTGTCCACGCTCTTTGGGGATCCTTTCAGCCTCCTGCCAGGGATGACCTGCGTCCAGTGACTGGTGTATCGGCAGCATGACGGTGCAGTCACCCAGAGCATCTTGGGGCAACTCTGATGGGTCGGCTAGCGTCAGGGCTTTCTGGGAGCTGACTGAGGCCTCCGCGGGGAATCCACCGCAGGCCAGCTTCTCCTGGACCCCACTCCCACTCCCTTTCCTCTCCTCTACGCATCCTCAGTAAATGTCTTGCACACCAGGTGTGACTCAGAATCTGCTTCCAAGGCTGGTGATGTAGCTCAGTAGTAGAGCAGTTGCCTAGAATTCATAAGGCCCTGGATTTCATCCTCAGTACTTGCAAGAAAGAATCTACTTCTCTGAAAACCAATCCCCTACCTATGTAAGTCTTCAGAATTCAAACAGCACAAATGATGTGCAAAGGAAACCTCACATACCAGTGCCTGTGGGTACTTCCAAAGATGATCTTTTCTTTGTGTGTGTGTGTGTGTGTGTGTGTGCGCACACACATAGGAATGTGTACATATAAAAATATGTGTGGGTATTGGTGTCCATTTTGGTCATTGTCTTATGAAATTTGTAGCACCTTGTAGTTGCTTTTTCATACATATCTTATTTCTGTTTTATTTTTATTTATTTTACATGTTGATATACAGTTTTTATATCAGTGCCTAGTGTTGGTTTGGTGGTCATGAATTTCTTCAGGTGTCCTTTGTCATAAC